GAATGGACATTTAGAAGATGTAGGGTTTCGGCTATTGGGTTACTGAAATACAACAGATCTCTTTAGTTAATTCTTTCTTTCTCCCTAACTTATGAGTAGCAATTAAATTCTCACAATAATAATTCATTATACTGAAAAAAATTTGGAAGCTGGTGAAAAATGTAGGAAGAGATGGAAGAGTCACCACACTTTTGAAAGAAATAAATGCACAGTACAATGGACAATTAGTGTTATATAATTTATTCATGTGATTGGTAATTTGGATATTTAATAAATGTTAAAGGATAATTATGGTAATCAAAAGTCTTTTGGCTTAGTGGCCTTTTAGAAGTAGTGTGTATATATATATATATATATATATATATTGCGTGGAAATGAAAGTATATGAAGAGTCATTTGGATATTTAATTGGTATTGAATAATTAAATACATAATAATATAGTTGTCTTTGATTTTTTTTTATGAGGGTATTATGGTCGATCAAAATTGTTTCACTTTTATTAATATTTTATAATAGTATAGATATGTCCACCGTAGGCTTGATTAATACAATTAAATTTTTGTGGTAATTTGAGTCACATAATTCAGTTGAACCATACAGTGCCGCAACGCTCTAGGTGTGAATTTGTACTTTGAGAGCGGATTGTCCATGTATTCACACAATCATTTAATAAAATTCACGAATTCATCCGTTCATGTTATGAATTAATTATGTGTTTACTCATTATTAATCAAATATTTATTTGACAACTGCATATCCACGCCTAATTTTATGTATAAATACGAATGATATTTATAATTGATAATTGTCATTTTGGAATCCTATAATTAATATATATTAAAACATCTATATAATAAATTAGATAGGTATTTGAACTTATGAGAGGTATATTTAGGCCTGACAATTCTAGACACAACTCGTGAAACCGACACGAATCCGACACAGACTTAGAGGGTTTAGATGTAGTCTTAACGGGTTCGGGTAGTTAACGGGTTAACTCGGCAGACCCGTAAAATAAATGAACCGGTTTCGTGTTTAACCCATAAACTCGTTTCAACCCCGTTTAACCCGTTAACAGTTGTACTATAAACTTTTTTTAAAAAAGTTAAGTCTCTGAGCCTCTGTCTCATCTCACACCTCTCATCTCTTACACTCATTCAAATTTAGTAGTCATTTAATATTTATTTTTTGTCTTTATTTTTTTGCTCAACCTTGATTTATTGTTATAGTAAATAAGTCAAACATGTGTAATGTGTAGCAAGTTGATAAATTTTTGTGTGTACTTGAAATACTTTAACTTATTCTCTTATTTAGCGGGTGACACACGGGTTATGTCGGATAACCCGTCTAATAAATAATTCGTATATGTGTGTAATAGTTGGACTCGTTTATATAAACGAATGAGGTATGTGCTATAACTTTATAATTGATCACCCAAGTCCAAGTTGTCGCGAAGTAATATAATACTTGGAAGTCCGAGGTCGAACCACAGAGAATTGTAACAAAAAGCAATTACAGAAATACCAAAGAAAATTTGAGAGAACAATTTGTGTAAAAAAAATTGTTGAGTTGAAAATATTAATTGGAGATATTTAAACAATATAATAAAAATACTAGAGTATCAAGTACTCCATTTCAATTCCATATAATAATGATTAAAGACTCCAATATTAACTTGAGACAAAAATCAGATGTCGGTTGATTCGAGTAACAAATCAAGTAAGAAAATCAAAAGTTATAATCAAAAGATTATTCAGGAACCTGAATAATCATCCAAGTATATTATTTTATGAAATAATGATAAATATCTCAAGCATGGAATAATCAGTTATTTACTCGCAGGAAAATTCAAGCAATTGATATACAAGGCACAACAACTCAAGAATTTTTACAGAATATAAATTTTGCTAAAAAATCAGAAGTTAAATTAACAAAATATCATAAATCATTAAGCACAGAGTCAATAACAGTATCATACTTCGTTGAGAGGTTTTCCTCTAGTCCTAACTTATCTTTCTAGTCAAACATAACGAACTAAAACAAAAATAAAAAGATGGAAAAAATAATAATCATCTCTAAATGAGAACCCCCTATTTATACTAAAAATAAATTCTAATTATAGGTAGAAGATATAAGGTTGGTTTGGAATGAATTTCTTTCCCAAAAGGAAGTATTGTAAGGTTAAACCCCATACATAAAATCTTTAGGGCGTGGGTATAAAATCTGTCCAGACTTCGAGCTTGAATTTCGCATATTTAAAGGTTGAATCACGAAAATTTAATGAAATACATTTTTGTATCCCTTGAAGTCTTCTTTTTAACTTCAAAAAATCAAGTAAATCGGATATTAGAGTCAAAAATTATGACCAAAATACTGAAAACGTATCAAATCATTTTCTTCTTTGACACTTTCCTAATCCAACTCTAAATGAGTTTTCTTCCAACTTTGACTCTTATAAGAATTAAATTGCTGTCATATCTTCAAGTCTTTCAATCTCAATCTTGACTCTTCAATCCTTTTCAGGTATCATTCTTACTCTAGTGATTGATTCACTTGCATTATTCATTATTACTTTAAATCAACCAATTTACCTACAAAATAAATCAAATAACTAGAAAAAGTATTAAACTAGAAAATCAAGAAATTTAATACATTTAATTACAAATAATATACAATTAATCAATCATTAAATATAATTTAATAGCATTTTTGATGGTTAATCAGTATGAATTGAAAATTTTTTGACACAAACTCATTTCACCTGACATGAAACCGTTCCACTCGACACGATTGCCAGACCTAGGTATATTTTTCTCCCAAAATTTCACATACCCAACACACACTTTTTCCCCCCTAGATTTCAAAAACTCAACACATACACTTCATAACACATAGTTGCACATACATACACACACTCTAACACACATTTCAATGCATGTACAGTGTTATAATTCAGTGAATTTAGTCACGGGAGATCGCTAATTAATTAATATGTCACTTAGTTATGCATCAAACTTTAACATTTTAAATTATATTTTTATTAATTTTTTATGAGTGATTGTACGTTTATATGTAAATAATATGATGCTCTTAAATCACTTTCATTTTATAATTTTTTAGAATTTTGTTGTTTTTGTATTTTTTACTTCTCCCCTCTCTCTCTCTCTACATAATCTACTGATAACTCTAAGGAATCGTTTGTTTTGAGTATTAGAATGGTATAAGGAGGTGGTATTAAGAAAATAGTACGTGAGACCCATTTTATACGTTGTTTGTTTGACATTTTATAGTATGTACTATTTTCTCGATCGTAATACCGACCCGCTATGAACAGTAGCCATAATGCCATGTAGAAGGTCTTAATAAATACCACATAGGGGGGTGGTATTATATTCTTGGTATAAATATTATAAATTAAAAAGACCGAAATGCCCTCCGGTACAATTCCCATACAAAACTTAGTCGTAATTTTTGACTTTTTAAATGTTAAAATTGTCTTTTACATTGGTTAGCCGCAATTGTTGACTTTTTTAAGTAGGTATTACACAAATAATATTTGTGATAAATAAACAAGGAGAATTATGAGATTATAGTTTATCACTGAATATAATATACTATTGAATTAGAATGGAATAAATATAAAACTTTATATCACCTAAATTTTATACTCAAAACAAACAAGTCCTAAAGTATATAATTTGTAACTTAGGTTAGTTACAAATTACGCTCTCTATTTTTGGGTATTCTTATTTAATTCCTTCAACTTTTCAAATTTTAAGAAATTGCACTCTTAAAGTTTTCACTTCACAAAAATTAGCACCCTTTGTCTTCAATTATTATATTGAGTAAACTATATAGTTTTCACTTCAATTATTAGAACTATTTCACTTGTATTAATTAAGTATATAAACTAATTTTTGTATCAATTTCAACTCTTCAATTATACTATCCAACTCAATATGTAACTATTTCGTATAAATTTACTGTTTAATCTAAGGTGAAGTTTCGTGTGTTCAATGACTTAATTGCAACAGATCAAATATTTTAAGGGACACTCTAAAATATTCATCCCTCTCTCCACCAATTTCTTCTCGAGAGTCTTCATTCTCCGACCCTGATTCCAACCACAATCGATTTTGATAGCTTGTCTTGAACTCTTTTTCAATTCCGACGATCGATTACGGATTAATCAGATCTATTGTCTTTGCTAATAGGTAATTATTAAATTTTCCCTCTCTTTTTTGAGTTTAGTTTTGTTTCTTTGAGACTTTGATTAACAGGGCACTGATTTTCTTGTTTCGGGTTATGAAGATGCAAAGTTTTTGTCTTTTTATTTTTTTGGGATTGTTGACCTTTTTGGATTCCTGGGAAATTTAATTTGTGATTTGAATATAATTTTATGTTAGGTTGTTTTGGATTCCATAATCTAGTGAATTGAATTGGGATATTGTGTTGTTGTTTCTGCTAATAGGTAATTATTGATTATTTTCCTCTCTTTCTTGGTGTTTGGTTTTGTTTCTGTGAGACTTTGATTAACAGGGCACTGAATTGTCTTGTTTCAGGTTATGAAGATGCATGGCTTGTGTCTTTATGTCTGTTTTTGTGGATTTTTGGCCTGTTTCCATTCACGAGAAATATATTTTGTGATATCAATATCAATCTATGTCTTTTATTTTTGGGGATTGTTGGCCTGTTTCGATTCCAGGGAAATTTAATTTGTGATATGAACATCAATTTTCTGTTAGGTTGTGTTCGATTACATAATGAATCGGGAAACCGTGCTTGAGATTTGAAAATCCTGATACCAGTGTAGTGGAGCATCGTTTTTTGTTTTTGTAGGTTATGGCCGTGCTTGTTTGACATGGTTAATTCTATTTGTATGTGGCAGCAATAGTTGGACAGCAGCCTTGCCCATTGTTGTAGTACTCTTATCTGGACTTTCCTTTCAATAGTTTGCCAGAAATATTAAACCAACCAAAAAAAGAAGAGAACTTTTCCGATGGTCTTTACATCGCCTCTGATTTGGGCTGCTTCACATATTGATGGTGAAATTTGCTATTTATGTAACCTATTAGATTTGTCTGTACTTCTGCAGTTACGTTGTCGCCATGAATTATGTCAAGTGCAAATTAATATTCGATGTCACTTTTAACCTAGTGATCTTGTTTTTTTTTTTTTTGTGAAATTTTGCAGGAACCATGTCTCTTGCACGGGCTTACCGTCCACAAGGTGGCCTTTTTCATGATGACTATACGTCCTCTTTTAGTATAAGCAACCATACCAACACTAACACTTCTGCCACTGCTTCCAAAAACCACCACTATGTTTCAGATAACAATTCTATGTGGAATTATAACAATTTTCATGATTTTTCAAGAAATTTTGGGGAGCATAACTACAATTTGAACTTTTCTATGCCTGAAGTCAAACCTTCTTTGAAAAGGAGAAAGTTTTCTAATTCCAATTGGGGAAACAGTGGGGGAACATATCAACAACCCCTTACTTATGATAATGCTCCTTCAACCAGTAAAAACAGTTCAGTGTTGACCACTACTACAAGGCCTTATGCCAATGGAAACATGTCTTCTACCTGCAAGCGTGACCGTTTAAAGTTTGAGGATGACGATGAGGTGCTATTTATGTCTAGGGATGAGATTGAAAATTACTCTCCGTCAAGGAAAGATGGTATTGATGCATTGCATGAAATGCATTTGCGGTACTCATATTGTTCTTTCCTTCAGAATCTTGGAGCTTGGCTTGAGCTGTAAGCCTTTGTATTTGAAAGCCATCAATGGAAGTTGTTTTATTTTGAGCACCGTTAGCCTTATGAAAACGAATTCTTTTTGGACTTACTTGCAGGCCCCAAACCACCATTGGAACCGCCATAGTTCTGTGCCACCGTTTTTTTGTTCGACGATCACATGTTTGTCATGATAGATATGTGAGTTTCCAGTTCCTTTTATTTAGAATCTGCAGTTTTCAGGATGTGAATGAGGATTCAATAAAAAGAATGTGATGATCAGATTTTGTCATAAATTTGTGCTCTTCTTTAGAAGTGAAATCATGTTAACTGTAAACCACATTCAAATGCAATTTGTCTCTGGTTGTTCTTTTTATTGCAGCATGACCTTTTTCTCAGAGTAATAGAAACTTGCTTTCTAGGAACTAATATAAAGTTGCTTTCTGAGCATCTATCCATTATGTAACTGATTTATGTAGATGAAACAACATTTTTTTACTGATCTCGTGTTTTGTTTGACATTCTGGTTACGTTGGTTTGTGCATTAGTCTATCTGTGTGTGTGGGAAGATTGTTATGTTTTGTGACCCAAAGGAAGAATAAATGATATATTGCTTGGTTTCTTCTCCTGCCTCCTAGATATTTGCTTGATATAACTTGTTGATTTTTCTATGTGAAACCTATATGATTGCTGATCCAATTTTTTTGCAGCTGATTGCTACTGCTGCTCTATTCCTGGCTGCAAAGTCTGAGGAGACACCACGTCCTTTGAACAATGTGTTGAGCGCATCATGTGACATTCTCCACAAACAGAATCTAACTCTTATCTCCTCTCTGCTCCCTGATGTGAGTATCTTCAGGATTTCTTCCTTTCCACCCCCTCTCTCTCTCTGTGTATGTACGGTTGCACATTTCCCTTCACCTGTTTCGGTTCCAAATGCACAAAAAGGGCGGAAGGGAGTATAAGTGTGCTGTAAGGATCAGGATGGCTGTGTCTGAAGTTTTTTGATGGAAGAAATTATAATTTCACACAACCTGTAAAGGTTCTTTGGTGGTGAGATGCCAAATCTTTAATAGGACAACCAATATTAGAGATGTATTCTGCATTCAGGTTTCCTAATTGTCATGATCAAATCAAAGTATGTCTGCCCTTCTTCAACAAAATTCAAAATGGCAATTTTTCAGTGCACCTAGATTGAAATGTTAAACTATGTGACATTGAATCCCTTTTGAGGACCCATTAGCAATGTGTCAACAAGGCCATACTTACTAGTTAATCGGAGTAGCCATATACTGAAATGATTTTCTTGGGTTGTATGTCTAATTTTGGAAAATGGTTTGCCATTGAACAGGACTGGTTTGAGCAGTATCGAGAACGGGTGATTGAAGCTGAGCAAATGATGTTGACAACTTTAAATTTTGAGCTTGGTGTGCAGCATCCATATGCCCATCTGACATCCATTCTTGGCAAATTAGGGGTTTCACAGTCAGTTTTGGTGAAATTGGCTTTGAACTTGGTTAGTGAAGGGTAAGTTATCCAGTTCCACTCTTTATTGGTTACTTGGGATACAATACTGGAGGCCATGGTTTAAAAGTTCATTATTTGTTTTATCGGTTTCATCAGTTGGATTTTGGAGCAATTCTTCATAGCAGGATATAACACACTTCATTGTGCACACCAAGTTTCTGTTGGTGTATTTCACTGTAGTAATCCTGGTGTTGCTCCTCCTTAGACATTACTTGCTATCTGAGTTCTGCTATAATTTATTCTTCTGCCGACACAACCACTTTATGAATATTGTGTAGAAACTAAGAACATCTCATGTGGGTATGAGTGCCAATCTCTTATTTGGATTTGGAGCAGTGGTGTTTGAATCTCAAATCGAATTGCCAACTGGTTGAGGCTTGGATACGTTCATTAGGAGGCTAAGTTGATTTCTTCTTCTGCCTTTTTGGGTTTTGTACTGTCACTTGTGCCTTTGTCTTCCTTCTTTCCCATTGAGAAATTGCTACAAATAGTCATTCTGGGATGGGATATTGATGTTTTGGATTGGCATCTAATTGCAGGGTCTATATAAGGTTAATGTGTTCAACAGCATGATAATCTTAGCTGGCGGATTGTGTGCTGTTCATCGAAAGTTCTATTTTCCATCTGAAGTTGGATAACTGATCTGTTGTAAATGCCTTTTCCTTGAATTAACCTTATTTACTTGGTCATTGGCTATAAACTATAGCCACAGAGCTCCTGAACCAGTTTCCTCATCTCATTTGTTTTTAAAACTTTTTCTTGTTCACTTGTGGAATCTTCATACATTATGTTTGTGTATCAAATTAGGCAGCTACTGTTCAAAAAATAAAATAAAATAAGGCAGCCTATGGTTTCCATAATGGATGCTAATGTATAGGCCATGGAAAGGTGCAAGATGAGTTATTTGTCGTTCATTGAGATTTTTTGTCACTGCAAGTGGTAGTTAATGACTACCCAAACGCGGGATACAGTCATATGTATAGGGAATTTGTTTGGGTAGCTCGCTGGAGCCTGCTCAGGTGGGATTTGAATACCTTGGGTTTTCAAATCATTTCAGAATTCTTGTACAATGTTTTTTGCTATTATTTTTTTAGTTTCACCAGCATGTTGATGTAGCTTTAGATGTTTTTGTTTATATGTCTCTGTTGGTGATTTATATCCTGGGTTCATTGCTGGACGCTAGTGCCAACGTGCTGTGGCATTGTGCCAAACATTTTATCTTCCCCCCCTCCCCCCGATTTTTGTCTGTTTCTTATTTTATTCTCATTTTGTTTTTTTCTTCCCTGATGTGCATTCTGGATGTCTGCAATAAAATAAATGAACTTAGTCAAAAGTTGGTAATCTTCTTCAATTTTTTGGGTACAGCGAGGCCAAGAAACGAGTTCATGTAACTTATGTTTGGTTTAAAAGTCACTGGAACTCCCCCTCGGAGAAAGCAAATAGAAAAATAAGAAAGAAAAGGAGAAAAATTGTCATCATGATTTTGTATGGTGTCGTTCAATATAACTTTATTATAGTTATTTCAGTTGTTCCTTGAGCCTTTTTCACCTTTTTACTCTTCAATTGTGAGCCATGTTTATTATGACTTGGGTTTATTGTGAAACCAAGAGTCAAAAAATCCTTGCATAGTGTTCATTTTGAGTGATAATAACAAAACAAAAAAAGAAGAAAATAAAAATATCTCATTCTTGGGGCACAAGACTTTCGCTTATAGCGGGTCTAAGAGAGGTAACTATTAGGCAACCCCTACAAACTAGGGTTAAGGTTGGCAGAAAATACTTGGATAATTCATTCTACTTGATAATAATGAAAGAAAAAAGATATTTAATTCGTCGTAAAATTTCAGCTCCAATGTATTTTTCACTGCTAGATTACATGTATATATGTACTTACATGGAAATTGCATGCACATTTTGACCTGCCCTGTAATTGATTTTGGATGGCTAAGGTCTTCGGCGAGCTTTTTCCTTGAAACTGTTTTCCTTTTTTTCTTTTTCTAATTTCATTTTCATGTTCCCCTCTTCTTTCAATCCCCCACCCTCCCCTCTCTCTTTTGTTTTTTTCCTTTGCACCACAAAAGAAAAGGAAAACCTTCATTTTTTTGTTTGTAGATGTACTTACATGGTTTGTTCTTTTTGTGGTTTTGTCATCGTCAAGTCTCTGTGTTTGGTTGCTGGTTCCAACCTAGAGAAAGGGGTGGATTTTTTCTTAAATAATGGTTGTAGGTTTCAAGTTTCATGGGTAAATTGAACCTAGAATATTGTCTCATTAGGCGATTGTACTTTTGGTTTGGCATATATCTGTAAACATTCTGTGCAAGTGTGTCAGTCAGCTTACTGATAATTGTTCTACTGTGAAGGACTTGCAAGCTACTTTGGCTATACAAGTGTGAGCCATGATATTATATCAAAATGTAATTTGGCATTCATCTTATGCACTGTTAATAGGATATCTTTATGGATATTAAATTTATGGCTGATACATGTCAAATTAGCACACAAGTATTTAATCCTATTCCCCTCCCCCTCACAAAAAAAAAAAAAGTGCACAAGTTTAATTTGCGTTGAGAATATCAAGGTATGTAGGAGTGACAAAAATAAGCTGCCTCTCAGGGCAAGAAGAAAAGAAAAAATAAATCTGCTTTATCGCAAAAAGGGTATAGCTTAATCTTATAAATCATACTTCAATGTTGCTACTTGGTGTAATTTCTTCTCACTTCTGATTTCTTAGCGCAAGGTTGGCTCTTGACCTCCAGTTTCCTTTTTCTTTTGGATGTCTGCATCTATTGTTCTGCTTTTGTATTATCATTGTCACCATCATCATAGATTTTGGGATGATGTCCTGTATCTGTCACTTCTATTGAGAGAAGTATCAATTAGAGGAAGACTAGTGGTGTTTATATACTGGATGGGTTGATGCAGTTGGCCACAAAGGTAGTTGTAAGACTTGCAAGTGATTGTGAGATGTGATGCGAACAGTGTTGTTATTGTGATGGTTGGGGGAGTAATAGTCACCCAAGTGATTGGAGTTAGCAGGCTAATGGCATGTTCTTGGTGGTCTGACAATTGTTGTATAAGGTTGGGATAGTGTTGGTGGTAGGCTTTATTCTATAAGTAGGTTAATTCATAATCAAATGGTTACATATGTATATATACCAAATTCTACTATTACTCTTGCTTGAATTTAATCAAATTCATTTCTGGATCCTTAATGCTTGTGTGTGGATGTGGTTTTGTGAGAAGTGACAGACTGGCAGTTATATATAGATGTGGTGGTCGTGGTATGGTTTCGGCATACGGTAAATTTGTTAGACAATCTCTTTAAAGTGTATCTCTAGTTTTAACAACTAGACTTAATTAGTTACCATGGGAAAATTATATGTATGACTGGCCGTCGTCGATATATGTCTATATAATTTATTTTAATTGGGTATATATGACAGGATCATCTGCTCCTATGTATGTATGTGTGTTTATTGTTTCCTTTAGCTCTGGAAATTAAAAGGAGAAAAGAAGATAAATTATCAGTTCACTTTTCTGTCAAATATAGGAAATGGACATTTTTCTCAATTCATATTGTTGTAAAGAATTTAACATTATAATTAGTACGTGGAGAATGAAATTTGGCATGGAAAACATATATCATATTTGATGATGCAACCAAGTACGAAGTTTAGGTTGGTCAAAGTTAGAAAGTCCTATCCTTGATATCATGAGATTACTAGCCATTTTGAATTTCCCTTATCTATGTAAAATGCTTTTTACAGTTAATTTGCAAGATACCGACATAATTTCCTTTCCTTTCCTTTTTGACTTTTTCCCTGGTCCTTAATTTCAAGCACCTGAAATTAATATCTATAAACATTTCTAAAAGTAAAAGAAATCATAACCATATTTTGCAAGTGTACGCAGCCATTTTACCCTTGGCAGCCAGGGTTGTCCTCCCAAAGTTTTCTACATGGTGGGAACATACATCTTTACCATTATATGAAGAAGCAAAACCACTTACAACTTTCTTGAATGGCACTCATGTAACCACCATTCTTTTACTTAAATATATGGGTCATACCTCATGCACAAAGCTACCGCCTATTATTCCGTCTGAGAGAGGTAAGTGTAGACAATTTTATCCATTTTATGGAGAGGCTATCGGTTTTATTGAAATATTTCACTGCAAAATTATCACTGTTTACGAAATCACCATTATGAGGTTTGGCAATTTTTTTTCCTGATAAGAATGGCTTGACAATTTTTTGTCTCAATTATTAGTATATATATATTCTCTCTATATATGTAGTTAAATTACTTATAAATAGAAATATATTGCATATATATTATATGTTTTGTTTATTTGAGTCGATCATTTTTGTAATGGTAAACTACATAACTTGATTTAGTGATATTTTATGGTTTCCCTTTTCAGGCTGAAGCCAAGCCAAGGTTCAGATCCCATTATTTTGTAGCACACAAAGATGATTTTTAATTCCTTAGCAATTGATTTAGCATATTCAAATGCATGTACCATCCAAAACTCTTTTCTTTTTCTTTTTTTTTTTTCAATCTCCCCTCCCAAACTATCCCTTCTTTCTCACTCTCAAATCCCATTCCCTACTATTTACACCACATTTTAACTCTTCTTATGACTAAATAAATATCATTCATTTTTTGTCATGTTATTTCATTTTTTTTCCTACGTTAAAGAATACATAATACTTGATTGTTGAAATTTTGAAAAACAAAAATAAAATCTAAACAAATGGTAGGATTTGAGTTCCAACAAAGTCAGGTTTTTATAACTTATCAATAAATTCAAAAAAAAAAAAAAAGGAAGGTCAAAAAGATAAAGATAGACCAAGGGATATGACCGTTGAATTTTTAAAAGAGGGTGAAATCTGACTATTGGAGATTTGAGTAAAGTACTGAAACTTATATTTAACATATTTTTACTCAACTTTAAATTTGAGTAAGAGTTAGAGATGCCCTTACACCTTTACCTAAAGGATTTTGGTTGGTATATTGTCGTTGGGAATCTTGGGATTATGTCTGTACACCAAATAGCCAGTAGCATGAAAGCTTGGCATGCCTTTCGGGATTTATGTTTGAGCAGAAGAGACCAGCATTTGCTCTCAGAAGGTTACATTCCTTCCAACAACCTGTGTTGCTTCTTCCTGTTTGCCTTTTAATTTGAACTGCATATGTTGCTGGAGCTGAAATTCACTGCAGCTGAGCTGGGACTGGGAGTTGGGATGTTCACTAGATGGGTATAACTTGTTTTCTATAGTTTTCGTATTCATATCAGCAGTTCTGCAGAAGATTCTGAGAAAATATTTCACCTGAGTTGCTGCTTTGATAGTTGGTAAGGAGAAATTGCTTTGCTTGCCTTTTCTTACTGAAACATGACTATTATTGTCAATAATCTAGTTATTAATTTTATATATTGCATTTATATGGTTATAGCTCGGTGTAGTCAAGTTGTTTTCTGAAAATTTTTGAAACTGATGCTGTTTGTGTTAATGTGGCAAATATACTATGGTGGACAAGATCTTGTCCCTTGATTATAGTGTTTCTCCAGGTGGTTTGTTCGAGTATTTCTCCGTCTATATCGGACGATTATTATTTTCCCGTTGCTTTTATGTGTTTTTAAGTTTGGTGTCCTTTTGTAGGCTTCGAAGTTCACTATGGCTTCAGTTCAAACCCCATCAGATTGCTGCAGGAGCTGCATATCTTGCTGCTAAGTTTATGAGTATGGATCTTACTTCATGGAAGAATCTCTTGCAGGAATTCCAAACACCATCATCTATAATTAAAGGTATCTTCGACACCATGTTAAATGTTGCATTTATTTTTGAAACATCTACCTTGAACATATTATCTAGACGTTAGGCCCTTAATTTTTTGAAACCAAAGTTACCCGCCCAACTTGTGTTTTTCAGCTACTTTTTTTGCCCCTACCAGGTAAGATTTTATTCCTAGAAATAAGTAGGCATTCTTCACAAAGGAGAGACTATGACATAATGATAACAATAAAGGGCTGAAGGAAACATAAAGGAGCACACCAGCCCTGCCTAAGCAAGCAGATGTAACCCAAAAACCAGACAGCTAACTTCATCATCTATAGTCTAACATCCAATTTGACTTAGCAAAAGATTTGGAGATCCTTAGAAGCTGACTTAGTTTGACATTAGTATCACTCTATCAGTAAACAAAGCAGCTTGCACCGAACTATCTAATGTTTGGGCTAACATGGTGTTTAGGAGTGTAGATTTTTCTTTATAATTGAAAGCTTAAGCCTTGTGGCAGAGAGAGTCTAAAGGTGACACTTTAACGTTCTGATAGTTTATGATTGTGGCCATTATGAGAGAGACACTAAGATCTTCCAAAGTTGGATTGAAAATTCTGTCAGCTCTATGCCACAATCAATGAAATATATGTTTTGGTATTGAACTTCAGTGTCTCACAAATCATAGAACTGGTATCTTGGCCCTAGTAATTAGCAGGGTCCTACAGTGGAGCAAAGGAAAGGGTATTGACTTGGTTGTCATTTAGAATGCTCCTAGAACACTTTCCTGTGTTCTTCGCTTCACATGTTTATGCGAATCAAATTACAGTGCATAGATTGTTATCGCTGGTGGCACTATATTGCAATTTCATCTTCTCACTTTCTAGTTTTTTGTTGTCCTCACCGGAACTTTGACATCATGTGATTGTGTGATATGCAGATGTTGCACAGCAGTTGATGGAACTGTTCTAGAAGATCACATTACATGTTAGCTCTGTAGGTGTTAGCAAAGGCTTTTGTTTGTGGTCTGCGATGGTTCTAGCCCCGTGAGCCTCTCCAAACGTTCTCAAATCGGTCTCTTAGTTGTTGTTGCGGGCGTACGGTACTATGATCTTTATTATTCCACTTTCTCAAAATGTAAAGCAGCGAATCCAAAGTCTCTTGCTATGTCCTCATTCCTTTATATTTTGGTGATCATAACTCATAAGAAGAGTCTGATTTCCAATCTGTATTGGAAGCTGGGTTTTAGGTTTATAGGTTGCTGGAGTCTGTAGTGCAAATCATTACAAATGTATGAAGGGCTTCTTCTATCCTACTATCACAAAAATGGATATTCATTGTAATAAACTAAACTGAGGACTTCTTCTATCCTACTATCACAACATGACCACTTCCACAACCGCCACCACTGCTATCGCTGGCAGCACCACTACCACATTTCCACCCCACCGTCATTGTCGTTATCACTGTTGCCACCACTGACCAATAACGGGTGGTAGCACCGGCGGTGGCGGTGGCGGTGTTGGTGGCGGTAATGGTGGTAGGGATGGCAAAATGAAAAAAGCAATCCGACTTGGCTTGAGGTGCACAGTTTCTTAATCGGTCAACAAACTCATTTTCCTCGAATCGTATACCAACACTGCCAACAAATTGTTGAACTTGAACCATCAACTTCAATCAATAATTCACAAGAAAAAAAATCCCTTTGGATGTTCATTGAACATGATGAATTTTGAATTTTTTATTTTTTTTGAGGTCTTCACAATTTAGTGCAGTTAGATGATGGTCTTACCGCTCATCTTTTATCCATTTGTTTTGGTTTAATGGTTAGGGGTGTTTGGGCCACTTCGACTAACTCCCTCCCTGATCTGATCAATGACAGACTATCTACGGTGGGATTAAAGAATTCATGAAAGATAAATCTCTCATAACTTGACCGCAAGAAGTTGTCAAAATTTAAATTCAAAACATTTAAGTTTATGGTTCATCCATATTATTCCTTGACCTATCCCTTTTTCTTTTAATTATAATGTCTTTTAAAGTTATTTTGCAAGAGAATATTCCTCGAAAAGAAGATAATAATTCCTTTTTTTTAATTGCTTAAAATCAGTTTTGGCCAATCGAACCCTCTCATCTCTTTAAATATCATGCTAGCACTTTAGTTTGCCTGAAGAGAGAAAATTAGTGGGTATCAAATGATGAAAGACAGAAAAAAAGTAAGACCATTGCTCACCAAATTTTGGGACCAATATAGCATTACTGAAATGGTCGACATAGGACAAGTTAATGGATGATATGATTGGTGAAAATATCAATACCCATCAACACTTGAAGGATTTTAGTGGTTTTTATTTGAATTAGTGACGTGGAATTCATAATCGACAAAAATTAGAAAAATGTCAGTAGAGAGAGAACAAGGTCCACTCCAAATATAATTTATCTTTAATTTTTTCATTGGCTAATTATTTATCGTGTATTTAAATGAGACATATTGTACACAAATGGATTCTTTAGTCATTAGTGGATGTATGATTTTTTTTAGTTCAACGATCTTAAGTGTTTAAAACATATTATATAAATTTTGATTAATCCTCTTTTCGGTTCAGTTAAAGATAGAACATCTATGCCGAAACTAATGTATTCACGAGAGATAAATTCCTTATGACCTGATCCTAAAGATTAAAGTATTGTCAAAATTTAAATTCAAAATGTCTGAATTTATCGTTGGTTCACATACCCTTATAGTCAAGGACTTAACTAGTGTACTTTGATAATAATTACATCCAGGTTGGTACTGTTCTTCATTAATTGACTTTCTCAAAACACAGATATTCAGTTAAACAAATCTTCATTCTATTCAAGAATAAAATACTAAGTCCCCGCTCAAGAAATTCTTCTTTGTGGAAAAAGGGTAAATTATATTTTATACCCTAAAAGATTAAATACCCTTACAAATTAATTATCTCTCATTTCGCCCTCAATGTGTAAAAAGAGTTACAATGTGACCCTTCAGTTAATTTTCGTCATTGATTCCATCAACGTCAACAAAGTGATTTTTGACGGAATAAGAAATAATAACCAGCGGAAGATAGAACTGATAATTGAGTCAAACTACTCATAATCAACTTGAGCTTGACTTGTTTTAGGCTCGATTTTGACTTCACTTGTTTTTTAAATAAGTCAAACTTGAAATTTTTTTAAACTCGTTTAAAAAAACAATCTTAGTTCGAATTCACAAAACTCGACTCGATTATCAGTTATAAGAAAAGGGCTACATTGTAACAGTTTTAATACAAATAAGAGTGTAATATAAAAAATCTAATTTTTAAGGGCACAAAGTAAGAAATCTTAAATTTTTCTTGGTGCAAAGCGAAATTCTGCCGTGAATAAATAGGTTATGGTTTTCCACGTAATAAGGCATGAAACTCTAATCTTTGCTAATTTTAGGAAACATTTTTATATCCACTAATTTATCCATAATTTAGGATTAAAAGGCTTCCAAACTTAGAAAAACCTCCATTATAAAACCTCCAATAACACAAGAAAATCAATTGCCGGGCCACACTCTTCTCTTTCTCCTACTCTTTGCCTCTCTGTCTATCCTGTACCCATGTAGATAGACTCTGGTGGGCTTTTTTTTTTAATAAATAAATAAATATATATATATTGAGTTCTATCCAGTCTTTTCGAAAAAAAAAAAGTTCTACCGAGTGAATTTATAGTTAAAAAACTTTGGAACAAAACAGGATTTGGAGAAGCAACGATGGTAGCCACTAACAGTGTCGGTTTCAATTCTAAGTTCACCATTTACATGGTGGCATGTTGGCTTCTTGCTGCATTTGGAGGTCTCATGTTTGGCTATGACATCGGCATTTCAGGTTTGTTTTTGTTTTTTTTTCTTTCCAATACTAGGCATGATATAAGGTTGTAAATGCATCGGGTTGTATTAGGCTCGTGTCGTGTCTAATACCATGATTTACATTGGTAGCATGTTGTATTCTTGCTGCCTTTTGAGGTCTGATTTTGGGGTATGTCATCCCCGTTTTAATGGGTCTTGTCCTGTTGGATTTCTATCTTGTATGTAAATCGTGTGTGTAAAATCCGTGCACTGTCGCGTCCCTATTAACCGGGTTTTTTTGGTGTTCAGATGGGTTTGTCCAAACCCATCCATTAAGCGGGTCAATCTGTTTAATATCCAAATCCTTTGGTTAGCTCTAGCACTCCTAAGACTAAATCTAAACCTAGTAATTATCTACAAGATCAAGGATACAAACTCGGTGTCTTGCATTCGAATCCCTCCTCATCCTCAATTATCCCAAAAGGGAAGAATTTTTCCCTTTGCGGGTAGAAAAATCATGATCAGGATAACATAGACCATATAAACTCGATATTCAGATCGAAAATAACAAGAAATCTAAAAATTTTCCTTTGTCAATATGGATTGAACACTTATCTTTTTTCCGTTTTGATTGTGTTCTTCTCAGGTGGAGTGACAGGCATGGATGACTTCTTGATAAAATTCTTCCCAAAAATCCATGAAAGAAAACTTCATGCCCAAGAAAACAATTTCTGCAAATACGATGATCAAATGCTCCAGCTTTTCACATCTTCCTTGTACCTTGCTGCTCTTGTTGCCAGCTTTGGTGCATCAAAGGCATGCAATGTCTTAGGTCGCAAACCCACCATTCTATTGGCATCAACATTCTTCATTGGAGGAGCTGCTTTGAGCGCTCTAGCTGAACATAAGTGGATGCTGATTTGTGGGAGGATTCTTTTTGGCGTTGGAGTTGGGTTTGGCAATGAGGTATGGAATTTTAGAGGGATAGATGAAGGCTCACCAAGGTAGTTTTTTATAAACAACAAGTAATTTGGGTGGGTCAAACCAAATTCAACCTGAATTCAATTTGACATTTTTTTTGGGTTCAAACGTGAAGAGTGTTCGGGTTCATTTATGTACACTTCGAGTAATCTCTTCTCTGGTTTGATCAAAAGCAGAAATCTACGCTGGAATTAGGGTATTTATGAGGAATAAATTCCTCATAGTTTGGCTCTAAGATATTACCAAAATTCACACTTACAATTTACAATTTGTCCCTATTATTACCTGAACCATTCATTGGGATTAATCTTATATTTTCATTACAGGGGTTGAGCCCTGGCAAATATTTTTTTTTAATTTCAATTTAGATCTGGGCAATACTTGGGTTCTAGTGACTCACCTAATTTAAATTTCAATTCAAGGTCGAGCTATGTAACCTGAGATAAAATTCGGGCTTAATCTGAGTTGTACACAAATTCAACTCAAATTGAACCAGAATTCTAACTCAAATGTGTAGTTTGGGAATCAAATCTAAATTCAACTCCAATACGACTTGAATTTCAACTAATCTGGCTCCAAGGGTTTGGGTTGACATCGAACTGAGAGAAATGTAAAACCCGAGTTAGCCTGTCAGTCCGATTAACCCGCCTAAATTGCACCCGTTATACGTGATTGACTTGAAAGCGGAAACTAAATTTTTTTTGGAAAAAATTGCAGGCTGTTCCTTTGTTCTTGACAGAGATAGCACCAGTCCAATACAGGGGAGCAGTCAACATTCTCTTCCAACTCTTTGTAACAATTGGAATCTTCATAGCTAACCTAGTTAACTATAGAACCTCAAATATGCATCCCAATGGTTGGAGGGTATCTCTGGGCTTAGCCGCAGCTCCTGCTGTCATCCTCTTCATCGGTTCTCTTATCATCACAGAAACACCAGCAAGCCTTATTGAAAGAGGAAATGATGAAGCAGGCAAGGCAGCACTGAAGAAGATCAGAGGTGTCGACAATGTTGACGCCGAGTATGAACAGATCAAAGAAGCCTGTGAACAAGCTCGTCAAGTGAAACACCCATTCAAGAAGTTGATGAAGCTTTCAAGCATGCCACCATTGATCATAGCTATACTGATGCAAGTTTTCCAGCAGTTCACTGGGATTAATGCTATAATGTTTTATGCACCAGTGCTTTTCCAGACAGTTGGATTCAAGACTGATGCTTCTTTGTTGTCTGCTGTAATTACTGGGTTGGTGAATGTTGGTAGCACTTTCGTGTCAATATTCTCTGTTGATAAGTTAGGAAGAAGGAAATTGCTTCTCCAAGCTTGTGTGCAGATGCTCATCGCCCAGGTATCTCCTAATTTTTTAGTACAACACAAACCTGACCCAAATTTAGTGGAATATGATTGATTAATTCTCGATACAAAACTTAAAAAGATATGATCAACCAACATGAATAATAAAGGGTCTTTTAGTATTCAACACAGCTAACCCTGATTTTGATACTCTGATTACATTTAGTGGTAGAATTTGAGAAAATCTATGATGTTTTGTTTCTCATTTGTTTCCAACTTCTTGAAATGTTTTTATATCAATCCTTGTATGCCAGTATATGGAGAGGTCAGTTTTTTTTTTTTTTTAGTTTATGAAACACCTCTTGTGACAAGATAAATTGGACAGCTAAGGGTTGTCTAGACTGGTATTGGACTAAACTCCGAAATGACACGACCCAAAAATGACACACGATTGGAGTGCATACTCAAATGCATGATTGGTTGACTGAACTTTTGAAATGCAGCTTGCAATTGGAGCTATTTTGAAGGCTCACTTGAAGGAAACAGGTTCACTAGACAAAACTCTGGCTATTGTAGTGGTGGTTTTGGTCTGTATGTTTGTTATGTCCTTTGCATGGTCATGGGGACCTCTCGGATGGCTCATTCCCAGTGAGACCTTCCCTCTGGAAACCCGAACTGCAGGCTTTGCATTCGCAGTGAGTTCCAACATGTTCTTCACCTTCGTGATAGCTCAGGCCTTTTTATCCATGCTTTGCCACATGCAAGCATACATATTCTTCTTCTTTTCGGGCTGGATTGTGGTGATGGGGCTGTTTGTGGTGTTCCTGTTGCCGGAGACAAAGGGTGTTCCGATCGACGCCATGACGGAGAGAGTGTGGAAGCAACATCCAGTGTGGAAGAGATTCTTCTCCGGTGAAGGGCCAAAGAGTTATCCCATGGCCTGAATTGGGTAGAAAGTGTATACTGTATTGAGATGAAATTACATTCTCTTCCGCCCTTGCTTTGTAATTTGAGATTTAATTGGAAATGGATGTTCATTTCAGAAATTTGAAGAGTGCTTCATCCACAAATGCTTTAGCTTGGTTTGTCTCATTTAAAGCTCATGTCTAGGAATAAAAAATTAAAAAAATATTAAATCACAAATTGTTGTCTAAAGGTGTATCCAGTGCCACGAGGTTTCCGTCATTGCAGGATTTGAAGAGAATTAGATGTAAGCAATCTTACTCTTGCAAATAAAAAGACTATTTCTAATAAAAGGACTATTTCTATGACTCGAACCTATAACCTCCAATGAAGTAACCTTACGGTTGCGGCAAGGCCAGCCATCTACAAATTGTTATCTAAAAGTAAGGGTGTTAATAGAACCAAACTTTGTAAGCTTGAACCCGAGTCTATCGAGTTTGTTTTTTTAAACAAACCTAAAAATTGTTTAAACTCGACTTACTTAGAACCCGAGGCGAGCCTGAGCTTGAATCTGAGTCAAGCCCGAGTAGTTTGACTATTTTACATATAAACGAACCGAACCTTTTAGGCTCGTTTTTCTAAGCGTGCCTAAAAAATTGTTCAAACTCAGCTCGTTTAAAACACAATTCGAACTCGAGACGTATCTTATCTGAGCCGACCTTGAGCCGACTCGAGTAGCTCTTCTCAATTAATACCCCTGTCTAAAAGGTATAATTGTTGGAGTTTTAGTTCTATAACAAAGAAAATCAATTTAGAAAACTAATACTATGACAAAAAAAAACTAGTACTAGCAGTGGTAAAATTATTGCAAATTCACATACAAATTACCTATATGTTCAATGATGAACTTGACTCTAACCAATAACCCCATTTGGCTTCCATCAAAACATTGACTGCCCAAATGCCAATGACCAATACTCTGGGATACTCTGCTGATTAAGCAAAACCACAAGCAAATGCAGCAAAAACAGCTATAGACAAACCAAGCTTAGCAAGAGGCCTATTCAAGGCATACAATGGAGCTGTGCCACTCGGAGAAGGCGGAGATACTGAGGCAGCAGGAATGGAAGGAGAGGGCAATGCAGAAGGAGAAGGCGGCAATGAAGAAGCGCGACGAACATTGATGTCAACTTTCTGGCCAGATTGGCAGTGTCCGGGGACGCCACAGAGAAAGAAATGGTGGCCATGGGCTGTGATGGTGATGGAATCATTGCCGGTTGTGTGGGTCGCAATAGGGGAAGATGCATTGCAGGACTGGAACTCAGGGTGTTTGACTTGCATCACATTGTGGAATTGAGGATTGTACTCAAAACCTGATCATACCATTTAACATGACAAGTTGTTAGATAAGATGAAAAAAAACACCCATGTTCAATAATGAAGTTCCCAATTCACCACTTATCCAAACCAATAACTCCATTTGATTAAGCTAGAAAAAAGTTCAAATGCAAAATTGGTTCCTTTCTGCATTACAAGGGATGCAAATGAACTGAACGACACTTCTTCGGCTTAGCATGTTAAGACCAGAGCATGATTAGGGAACGAGTTCTTCAAAACTCCCATTTTCTTGTTGAGGTTCTTAGGAGTTTCCTATTCATCCACCACATTGATTTTTCCTTCATCTATAGAAGGTTGGATTTTTTCCTTCAAAATCCAGCTTGCACAACTAATTATTTGGGTTCGATGTTGGTTTGATAGGAATGTTTGGGCTTTGCTTAGGATTGTAACGCATTTCAAATATCTTGTTAAAGCTCGGGTCATTATTTTTTTCCTATGTTTGGGCTCAACTTGACAAGTCAGGCTCAAGCTTGTGTTAAAGCTTAAATTCAAGTCTATATTAGCATTGAAGATCAAATTCGGATTGCTTTCAATACATTGTTCTAGCTAAGCTTGTTCATTAGGCGATCTTTAAATTTAGGCTAGAGCTCGGTTCATTTTATAAGTGAACGACCATGAACAAGCTTTAATATGAACCAAACTTGAGCTATTCATCAAGAGCTCGGTTCATTTGCAACTCTATGCATCACACCATCACAAGCTTGACACCATGCTAGTAATTTTTCCTATATTCTCCTTTTCTAATTGAAATTAGAAGCTGGCTAACAAACTAAATGTAACCTTCAAAGGTGTACCTAGTACAAGAGCCTCCCGCGGTCTAGGGAGGGTTAAATGTATACGACCTTACTTCTGCAAGCAGAGAGATTGTTTTCACAACTTGAACCTGTAAACTTCCGTCTTCATGTCATTAATTACACTGATCCTTTTGTACCACACAAACTTATCATATCCAAAAGACCAAGACATACCATTCATGGACCATAACAATGAAGACGGGTTTTTTTTTGTGCAAAGAGAGCTAAAAGGTGAGTGGTTCTTCTATGTGAAATGGCAGCATAATTGATGGCCTGCATGATGCTGAGCTAGTGACAGACTGGATTTTTCATAAGGGACAACCAACAAGTAACATGGTCCATGGACCACATCATGAATCTCAAAAGAAATGGCTGGTGCCTGAGTACCTATGACTCGTATAGAATATTTTCTATCACTTTCATTTAACTTTATTATTTTTAGGAAATCAAAATAAGACTTCTACTTCTAAAAACCATTTTGGAAGCAGAACAAAATTTTTTTTTTTTCAGCAGCATATTCAGTATCTAAGATGGTACAAGAATGGCTAGTAGACAGTGGCAGGGGATTGATAAGGACCAAAACCTAGGAGGTTTCCTAAAGCCAAAACAGAGAATCATAGAAACAGAGTTACAGATACTATGCTTACTGTCCGAGGAAAATATCTGAAACTGAACTAACTGTACTTTGGACTATGATCAAAGAGAAAACTCAGGAAAAGAGGGGTTTTCCATTCTCCCCCCGTTTGGTAGCAAAGAAAATTGAAGAAAAGAAAGAAACTTTGGCTCATATGATCTCGGTATCCCAAGAGAAACTCTGTTCAGTGTAGGTATTATGTGCCTGTCCTTAAAGATTAAATATCAAAACTTTCTTTCTCATTCTTACCCTTTCTTAGCAACCAAACAGATACTAGCGACACCTCAGATAGGAGGTGTGCATGGAGAATCAGATACCCAATAACCCCCATGAACTACAAAGCAACCGCCTAAGTAAAACACGTAGAGAGAGAGAGGCAGAGAGAGAGAGACTTACGGATGATATCACCTAGTTGGAAGGTCTTAGTAGCAGACCAATTCTTGTAATCAAAATTGCCAATGGTGGTCCAACCAGTGGAGTCTCCTACCTTGTAAACAGCTGCAATGGAGACCCGCAAGAAGGATATATACATGACCAAGAACACAACCATAGCTCTCATCTCCACTGCCAAAGCCATGCTCAGAATTTGCAGAATAGACTTTTTAAAGGTCTCTGAATTTTGGGGTTGATTTAGGAACTTAGGATAGAACTGAAGGGTCTTTTATATATGGCAGTTTATGAATGTTAGGACTCACCTAAGGGTTTGGAGCCCTTGCATGTTAATGTGGAACTTCACAGAAGGACCCTGCACCGCTTTTGATAATGACTGGCTGTTTGATGAAAACATACCATTACCCTTCAACAATTTTTTTTTTCAAATCTTCCTTTTTTAATAAGAAATTTGAAGAGAGCTTTCAAGTATTATTCATGGGCTACTCAAAAGAATGCACGACATATACATAAATTTAAATAATATTTTTTTTAATAAATGTGAATTATATGTGTAATTAAATTAAATAATAAATTAAGTGTCAAAAAATTAATCTATATTTTAATTATTGCTAAATTCAGTTATTATTTTATTCTATAGATTTTCTAGTACTTAATATGCTATTTATTTCAGAATTAATTTTTTATTTTATTAAATAGATTGCTTATAATAATATTATTATATTATTACATATTAAAAAAATAAAATATAGCATATATTTGACTGTAGAATTCAATCTGGCTATTACATATATGTAATAATCTAACATATATAAGATTTTACTTTTTTATATAGATATAAAAAATTGTATTTAAAAAGTCTAAAACAAGTTGAAAATCAAATAGGAGTAAAATTTTTTTTTATGAAAATATATAAATGGGTATAATTAATTTTAGCTATTCCCACCCCTTGAATATCTTTTCCCACCCTATTTAATCATCTTAATTTAAACTATTAAGTTCACCTATACTATACTCACCCCATTAATTCTAAGTTCACCCCATTTACCCCTATTCAATTAAAATATTAAATATATGTTTTAAAATATTTTGACATGTTTTGATTAATATTTTAAAAATAATTATTAATTTTTTTATTAATTTTATTCTGCTTCTAAAATATTTTTATACCTAAATAATACAACCAAACAAAATTTTGATGATTGCCTAAATAATACTCACTCCGTTCCTAAATATCTGTTATTTAAGGATTTTGCACAGGGATTAAAGAACTATTAAATAGCTGTAATATGAGTAAAAAATAATTACACAAGACTAAAATACTCTTATTCAATATGTATTAGGAAAGAAAAAAATATGAAAGACACTTAGCCTCCACCTATTCTAATGCATTGAAAAGTTAAGGGTAAATTTGGAAGAAAAAATATTAATTATGCTTTGGTTTCATAAAGTGACAGATATTATGGAACAAAAACAATTATGTAAAACGACAGATATTTAGAAACGGATGGAGTAGGTTGAAATAAAATTGAATGAATTTAATTTTTAATTGGTGAATAAAGACAATGTGAGTTTAGTAACTAATAATGTGAGTATAGATGGGGTGAACTTAATAGTTTGAGATAAGATGAATAAATGGGGAGAAAAATTAGATTTAAGGGGTGAGAATAACACCAGTTTTGATTTTATCATTAGGGATAAAATATAAAATTAAAATTTTTTCGTAGATGCTGACATTTATAAGTAAATATAGATATAGATATATTTTGTACCAAATTAATTTATAAACTTCATCAGAATTGTCTTGGAGGTTATTAAGATCCTCTTGCTTTTTTGTCATATTATTTGTTGATATTTCACATAATTTTTGGGAAATTACACCCAACTATAATCCACATAGCACACTATATAAAAGGACAACTTCATAGTTTAATTAGATTATAAATATGACTACAAAAGAAATAAATATGTTTCTTACCAGAAATTTTCAATGAAATGTCCATAAACTATATAAAAGGATCATCCTGTCTGTTGGCCAGATGACCCATTTGGTTCAGACTTGAGAGAGTTGGTTGAAAAGCTTGAAAGGAAAGAATGTTGGGAGTTGGTAGGTGGTAGCTTGCCATAGTATGCCTTAAAGAGAGAGAACTGGTGAATGCCACAATGACAAACAGGAGAGGCGATAATGAATAGTCGAGTATATCATATCACGAGTTGCCTACAGCCAACCATGATGATAGTGCCTACATCCAACCATGATGATAGTGCCTACATCCAACCATTTCATTCTTGTGCCTCAATAGGAGAGGTATTTTCTCTCTACATGAACAGGTAGGCACAGTACAATTAAAATTTTGAGCTCGAGTTGAGGGTTTCACATCTTCGTTTGAGCATCGAGCTCTCAACTCATCCAACCTGTCCGAACTACACCCGAAATGCATTGGCCTTATGGTAACATTCACCAATAGTGGGAATTGGACTGTAAGCTTATGTTCAAATGGCCCTTTCTTACCATTAGCCCTCTCCAAATCATATAGCAACTACCCACAAATAGATATATCTTCAAATCAGAAGAGCTCATTCAAGAATATAACAGTTTCTGTATTGAGGATGAGCTGAAGACAATAAATTGAGAAGAAAAATGTCTCCAGGACTGAAGGTATTAGCTAGTTGAGGAGCAACAGTTTCATATCTTACACCGATTTAGGGGAAAAAAAAAAAACCGCCCTTGACACAGCAATGACAGTAAATAATGGTTAAGGAGCAAGGTTGTCAAGCTCAAAAGTAAAAAAAGGCCATGAGACATTGTTTAGTTTTGTATTTAGTCGCATATCTATAATATTTGTCAAATTACAGAGAATAAAAATGCAACTTCCAACATGCGAGTGAATCCTTCAATCTGCTTTCACTACAGATAGGCAGTACCCTCCATTGTTTTTACCGTCAATCACACAAGTTATGGCAAGATTGACCAATTAAATCAAGATAAGTTTCATGACATGTTTCTTTTTCTTTAGATGTTGATGCACTAGAAAAAAGCATAAAGTGGACCAATTTACAAGTAGCCCTCCTGTTTGACAAAGCCAACTAAAATGTGCTAATAAATTGCACTGCACATACTCCAAAACACCATTAGAGAACACAAATATGTTTTTTTATGTTACACACCTATTCATTTATTCATCTATATGATCCTAGTAGCACAAAATCTTCTTCAATCTTTTCTTGTACTTTCTATAATTGGGAAGAAGGATCGAATCCATTGGCATGCCCATTTTTCGTTGCAGGGTGGCCGTTAGTGCCATTTTCTTCGTCCACACTGTAATCCATGAACCTCTTCCAGAGCCAGTGCTGCTTCCACACTCTATCTGTCATCTCCTCAATGGGAATATTTTTCGTCTCCGGGACCAGGAACACCACAAACAGTGACATGATCAGAACCCAACCCGAGAAGAACAAGAAAATGCCATACTTTAAATGGCACAGCATTGATAGAAAGGCCTGTGCAATGACAAAGGTGAAGAGCAAATTGACACAAACTGTCACACTCTGCCCAGCTGATCGTGTCTCCAATGGGAATGTCTCACTGGGAATAAGCCATCCCAAAGGCCCCCATGACCATGCGAATGCAGCCACATATGTGCAAACCAAAACGACTACGAAGATTGCGAATCCATGGCTAAGGCTTTCAGAGTGGTCCTTGACCTTGATCCCTAGAATTATGGCTATGACCACTTGAGAGATGAACATTTGGACTCCAGCTTCCAGCAAGAGGATGCGACGCCCAACTTTGTCGACAGAGTAGATGGAGACAAGGGTGGAGACCACATTAACAGCCCCTGTAATTACAGCTGAGTATAGGGCAGCATCGCTGCCAAATCCCACTGTGTCAAATAGGACTGGTGCATAGAACATGATCGCATTGATGCCTGTGAATTGTTGGAAAATCTGTGGCAAAGCATTGCAACAAGTTAATGAATCAATGTGAATTATTAAAATGCATAGCCATCCTGTTTAGAGGTGTCAATTTTTGACAGGACATACTAGTAGGATGCGAGCCCAATAAAAAATTAGTAAGTTGAGATTAACTAGTTCTCGATGCGAATAAAAAAAAATGATACAATCAGTTAACATATATAATAAATGGGCCAGTTAATATCAAACATAACTTGATTTTAATACATAAATATCATTTAACTTGTATTAGTAAGCAATATTTGATTCCTTTTTTGTTTATTTCTATTTCTCACTCGAACATCATATGAATTCTAGTATGAATAGATGATTTTTTTGCATAGATTGTAAACATGTCGATTGAGTGGCTTTTTAGTTTAAGGAAAGCCCATGGATGATGGTTTTAGTTTTAGGAGAAAAAGTCTTAGTCTTAACTTTTTTGTTCATGTTGGTGTCAATCCAAACATAGCACAATTAATAAACATCAAAAGACTGGATTAATATTAAGACTTCCGGCAAGATTAATTAAATGAATTGGGTCATGGTTGAATAGTATTTGATAAAAACTGAAAATGATATGACTCAATGGACTGGTTGACTAAAAATGTAATAAATCTTAGACCCAACTGCATAACTTATGGATCAATTGCAGCTAAAACACCAAGCATTGAGTGAAAAACTAACCTGCAAGGCCACAGCAATGATCAGTTGTGGTCGATTCCTTCTCATGAGGAGATTTCTGAATGGGTGCTTCACTGCTTTAGCTATACGACTGGCCTCAACAAGCTCCAAGTACTCGGGTTCAATCTTGTCAGTGCCTCGGATCCTTCTGAGCACTGCTTTTCCTTTTTCCAAGTGTCCGCGTTCAATTAGGCTGTTGGGGGTTTCCACCACAAAGAGGGCACCTAAGGTCAGGAGGCCTGCTGGAATCCCAGCCAAACCCAGTGATAGCCTCCATCCCCACCCTCCCTTGATTCTGTTAATGCAATAGAAATGATCATCTTGGTCAGCGAAAAACCCAGGAAAAAATGCAAAAGAAATGAATGCAATATGTTATACTATTGGAATGATTATGGTATGCAATTTTAGTTCCTCCTTCAATAAAATACGTCTTTTGGTACGACATCACTTTAGTCACTAGCCAGTTTTCGGCATGTAGAGACTTCCAATCATCAACAACATATCTAGGCTTTATTTGGTGTCAAGTATTGTGTCTATTTTTTGTGTTTAACGTTTAAAGGTGTTTGTGTCAGTTTACGCGTACTTTGACTAATCCTTTCTCCGGTTTGATCAGGCCATTCACACCGAGACTAGGGTATTAATGAGAGATAAATCTCACATGAATTGGCCCTAAAAGATTGCTAAAATTCGAATTCAGAACATCTAAATTTAGAGCTTATCTTTATTACCACTTGAACTATCTTAGCCAGTGGGAATAAAACTGTAAACTCTCACCCTGATTAAAAACTATAAACCATTGTGATTTATGTTTCCGTAGAGCAACCGGTTCTACAAGTTATTAACTACACAAGTCTATGAAGCACGAGTATTTTCGAAAAAGAGACGTATCCGTGTCAGACTTGTGTCGGACACTGACACTCTTCGGACATATGGCCGATACGCTTTTATCCGTGTTCGACATTTTTTTAGAATGTATCTACCACTAAAAAAATAGACATATGTTAAAAAGTGATTAACAAAACTTAAAAATTTGAGAACATATAATTATTAATACTAAACATGTTAAAGTTATACTCCAAATATAATAATAAAAACAAAAGATTCATAAAAAATTGAAAAAAAAAAAGAATTGAGATAATGAGAACAATTATTTAAATTATATATTAGGTACACATTGTTTACAAAAAAAATTTGATGATTATTGACAATAATGACGATGTTTTAGTTTAAAAATTTACACAAATGACTGGACATTAAGTTTTACTTATCATAAAATATTAAATTTTTTATGAATTGTATATCATTATTACTATATTTAAAATAAATTATATAATGTTATACATAAAATATAATTTTTTTTGTATCGTGTCCGTGTCTTACTTTTTTAAAAAATGTCTGTGAGTCGTGTCCAGGCTTCTTAGACACAAATTTATCTTTCAGTATAACACCAAAAAAATTAATTTTCAGCGTTATTGTCTTGGTCATCTTTTTGCTATCCACTGCATTCATTTGATTCTCATAAAGTAGTTAAATAATGAAATAAAAGTAAGGTTCATATTTCAACTATAGACTATGAAGTTCTGAAGCTTTGTTCTATTTGTCAACCATCTAGTCTGTGATAAAGGCTCAGCATGAAAATAATTTACAAGACCTATGATCAAAGTGACATCATGACATATAATCTAGGCCTTTTATTGCTGGGGTAATGCTATATCGACAAAGAAAGGATAAAAAATATAGACTAAATGATAAGACGCTCAAATAATAAATAAAAATTAAAGTGAGACCAAAAACATCACTATAATTTAAGTGACACTCTTCATGGGGGGCACGTGTACTTTCATTATCTCTGGTTAGTTTGAACATTGTTTTAACAAATAAAAAAAATTATTAAATAAAACAAATAACATTCGAAAAGTCATATATAGGACATACTTTGATGTGCCGTAATTGACAAGGTTGGCGAAGAGGATGCCGAGGGTGACGTTAAGTTGGAAGAGTATGTTGAGTCCTCCACGTATCCTTGTGGGTGCAATCTCAGAAAGGAAGAGTGGAACTGCCTGAAAATTCATGCACAATACATTTCAGGCTCATCAAATTTGAATGATGATGACTAACATGTTCAAGTTCAACCAGCAAAGTCCCACAGACACCCCAAAACAAATTCAAATCAGTATTTGGGGATCGAGTAGGTATTACTTGGACCAAGTTAATTGACTATTATTTTTGGATTAATAGTGGATTATATGAATCTTTTGTTTTTTTTCTTAAACAGTGCAATAGATGCTTCTGTTTTTTTTTTTCTTAAAAGGGTGACGATTCAAACGTAAGAGCATCACAAGATTCATAACCCCTAGGCCTTTCATGAATAGAAATTGAAAGCGAGATGGCCTTGGAGGTTTCCATAAATGAAAGCAAGAGACATGGACATTGGACATGGAGGTGTATTTTTTCTACGCTCGAGCTGGCCAGAAAGTCTTGATTCAATATAACTTTATTTTAGCTTTTTTTTGTCCAATTGTAAGAATGTTCGAGTTAGATTATATTTGTCTCGATTAATTCTTTTTTCGGTCCGGTTAGAGATAAACTATCCACGTTAAAACTAAAATATTTATGAAAGATAAATTTTTCGTGACCTGACCTTAAAAAATTATCAAAATTCAAAATTAAAATATTAATTTACAGTTTGTTTCTGTCCCACTCGTCGGGAATACATCGACTTTACTTCATTTGGTTTCAAAAGTGTCTGAGTCACATGTCAAAACGTCAATGCTCCAGTATGTTTAAAGCAAGAAAGAGAGTGGAACAACCTGTGGCGTGATTAAGACTAGAGAATAAAAAAGTTTCGAAGGGTACAAATGGTGTGTTATTTTCATCTATTATTGATCTCTGGACCACCTGTCATGCTATAGTTGGTCTAGTAACCCTATTTTGGACCCACCAAAATGGGGCACATGGGGACAGATAATTTAAATAATAGAAAAAGAAAAAAGAAAGTAAAATGATAACTTCACCCCTTAATTCGGCTCCCTATCTCCATATGAGCAATTAGTTGCCTATTTTTCGCATTATATCTTTAACCGTGATTATTAATGTGACAATACCTGAATTACAAACATCCGCTATGGATTAAATGAAGAGTTCAACTAAAACAACACGAAAAATTTAATTTATCTTCATTTACCAATAACGTGGAGGGGCGAAGAGAATCAAGTCACGCCACCATGTTAACCTAAGGTCACATTGACCATTAAAAATGAAATTGTTATAACCTTTCAAAGTATTTTAAAATTTTCAGCTGTGATTATTATATGTTATCAGAGGCACCTTAAGTTGACTCAGAATTACGTCACAAACACGAGCTTATAATAGACAAGGCTAATCAGTTCTCGATTATCCTTTAATCATATAGATATAAAAAAAGAACAAACCTGATTAGCAAAGCCAACTCCAACCCCAAGTGAAATCCTTCCAATAATGAGCATAGCAAGGTCTTGAGCTGCAGCATTGAGTATCACACCAACTATGAAGAAGAATCCGGCTATCATCATGGTCGGCCGCCGGCCGTACGTCCTTGTTGTAAAGGAGGCAAAGAAAGTCGCCGTTAAACCAGCGAGATATAACGACGATGTAAACAATTGAAGCCCTTGATTGTCATATTTGCAGTAGTTGCTGTCCAGTCCTACTCCTTCCTGAGACTTCCGGTACACAACTGGGAAGAATTTTTTCAGAAAATCGGGCATCGCCGTAACACCACCTGTCATATAATTAAATGCAATTAGATTCGTGATAGTGTGAATTTTGTGTAAATTCAAGCTCTAAAACCCAAACTTATAACGTATTACTTAGACAAGAACATAAAATGGGGAATACCACACTAATTAATCAATTAATAGCGAAGAAAAAAGACACTTAATGAAGTGACACTAAAACAATAACTCGTTGGAATTCAATTTAACTTCAAAATTTTCATTTGAAAATCAAGTGCCAAATTAAAATATGGTTTAGTTAGCATCGTAAATCACACAACTTGATCTTTTAAGTCCATTTTATTGTTCGATCATTAAAGTAATATCCTAAGATATATAATCATTTAAAGACCATCAAGGGGCATAAATAGGTTGGGGGGGGGGGGGGGGGGGGGGGGGGAGAGTTTAGTCCAGAAAATTATGTATGGATGACAATTTCTAACGCAACATAAAAAAATGACTCGAAATTAGCATATTATGGTTGATCATTTTTTCGACACAAATTCGTATATAATACGAACCGTTAACATGAATAATAAATAAGTTTGATTAATGACAATACAAACATCACGAAATTGATACATTAACACGTTTACGTAATATTATCTCATAAAATGGGAAAAGGGGTATCTTAGTAATTCTGTCATTGCAAATTTTTTTTCCCCCTTTTTTGGCCGGTGATCCTCTTAGAGAGCTGCCCAGTCTGATTGGAACTCCACTTCACTTGGATCGGAGAGCTAACTTTTTTAAAAAGGCAGTTGTCGCCTTGCAATTTCTTTTTAGAAAAGGGATATGAAATAGAAAAAATAGCTTTTTCTTTTGTTTTTATTTCCAAAAAAACGATTGGATATTATGTATAGCGTATATAACTGTGTATATGTATATCTATCCATACATCTGGTGAAAAATATGAGTACATATACAAGTGCATACATAAGTAGAGAGGCAGAGATCGACAAGAAACAGAGCATAAGAAGATAAATACAGTAATACACTAATCTTGAAGATCAGAAAGAGAGAGAGAGGGGAAAAAGATCGACAAGAAACAGAATATATGAAGATAATACACTAGTATTGAAGATCAGACAGAGAGAGAGAGAGAACCTGAAACGCCGACGTCGTAACCGAACATGAGGCCACCGGTGGCGGCCATAATGCAGGAGATGATGACAATAGGTGTGATCTTGGCCTCGAAATGGCTCCCTCCTGCGGCCGAGAATCCTCCGCCGGCCATGACTTTACGTCAATGCCTATATATATCTCGAAACTATATATATTAGCCCTAAAAAATCTTTTGACAATCTTCTTAAATACAACCAAGAAGAAGAAGAGAGGAAGAGAGAGACTGATTGTAATGTAACGTGAGATGGTGAACGGAGAATGTGTGTGTGTTTAGACTTTAGACTTTAGAGTGGTTTATATAGACGAGACTGAGAGGCTTGGATGAGTATGCTATTACGACATCGACGAGGTTTGGGGCTGTGGACAATACCATCAGAATCTTTACAAGTGTACGTTCTCATTGACAGTCTTGTTCTTCCTTGACGGCTGTGTAGTCAAATCTACGTGTCTCTCACTAATTATCCCAAATAATATCTATCATTTCTGCTTAAGAAAATACTAGTTTATAAATTTATTAATTTGGTTTATCAACAAGTTTTCGGGTGGACGAGGTTAGGCACGACCGTAGCAGTTTGAACTCACGAGAGAAGTTCACCGGTTAAACTTAGATTTTGAGGTTTTACAAATTAATATTGATCTCAATGCACATAATTTACGTGTAATTATGTGTATCTTAAATTTACATTACAATCATAAATTCTGACAACTTATAGTTATTAAAAAAAAGAGTAAATTTTGTGCTTTGAATATGACATCGGTAATATAAAGTTCATTCCAAAAGCATTACATGGGTGGGTTAAAGAATCCATAACGAATTCGAGTACTAGATATTTCAAAGATAGTTCAAGTGGTAATAGAGACGATCTGTAAATTTAGATGTTTTGAGTTTAAATTTTGATAATTTCTTTGGATTAAATTATGAGAAATTTATTACTTATGAAGATCTTAGTCCCGATGTGAATGACTTGTTTTTGACCAGACCAAAGAAGAAACTAGTTGAAATGTGTGTAAACTAATCTTGACATTCTAACCGTTGAACTAAAAAAAATATCCTAATCCTAGGAGGACTAAAAATTGGATATTTAAAAAATCTTCGATTATTTCTAGTCATACCAACTATAGAGACATAAAACTATATTATAGAGAGAGATTTTTAATTTTTTTTTATCAAGAAAAATACAGAGAGATAGAGTTGTCAATTTGGGTTGTAGTTGTATTGGGGCCCATTTAGACAAAACACAAAATAACGAATCTCTCGTCCATCTTGAAAAGAAAAAAATAAGTAATCTTCAGATTAAGTGTGCTTCATCTCTCCCTTCCTTGTATTGTATAACGGCTGGTAGTGGTAGGGTGTCATGTATATTAAAATCTTAGATTTTCCCAAAAGTTAATCTTCTAATTAAAATCCATATAAAACCATTATTAGAGCTCAATGATTCTAAAATCTTGGTCGAAATTGACTAAATTAAAATTATCACACCCATTTTTTTTTCAATATTTAAAGAGATATCAAAAAACAGAGTTTAAACCTATTCTCATACATGGATATCGAGCATTTGTTGGGAGAAATGTCTTTGGCACATTGATTGGGCGTAAATCCAAATTTCATGTGGGTGACACCCTATTTCCAAACCAGTGTACTATCATTCAAACCAAATGAAAAAGTGATGCCCCATCTTTCCCCATAGTTTGGATTTGACTGTTTTTTTGGTTCTAACGGTTAAGAGTATTTGGATTAATTTACGTGTATTTTGATCGATTTTCTCCCTGATCTGATTAAAGATAAATCATTCACGTTGGGACTAAGAAATTTATGAGAGATAATTCTTTTATGGCATTGCCATAAGAAATTATCAAAATTCGAATTCAAATCATCTAAATTTATATCCCATTTTTATTATCACTCGAGTTATCCTTTGAATTATTGTTTTTTGGTCAGTATCCCTTTGAATTGTTTGATTTTGATTTTGTTCCGTGAAACATTTTGCTGAGAAACAAGAAAACAGTTTCATACCTTTCTTTTGGGGACCCCCAACATCAAACAGTTTTGGTCAAGGGCTCCTATGTAACAAACCAAGTGCTCTACAATGATTGACCTTTCATATTACTTTCCAAACTTCACTAATATGACAAGGAAAACACGTTTACCGGGATAACACGTAATTTTGAGAAGAATATTAATAATTATTAAAAAAATTTATTTAAGATTGTTAAATAAATTTATTAAAATCTATTCTATTTTATATTATAAATTCTGATCTTGAAAGTTGGAAATAATGAATAAAAAATGAATCGAAGGAAATCTTGATCATACGAATTACCGTCCTTAGTGACATTAATTTATTTAAAATCGTCGAATAGACTTATTAAAATATATCTTGTTTTATATTAAAAATGTTATAAAACTCTCACTTCTCTCAATTGAAATCTTGGCACGCAATTGTCACTTTCCAGCCCTATGACCCCCAAGGTATTTGAAATTTTATACCTGAGGCCGACATAATCCACTAAACAAACATTGTTGACTGTTAAGGAGAGAGAGAGAGAGTAAAAGCTACCATTGAATTTCTAAATAATTTACCATGTGCTTAAAAACTAAAAGCTAACCTTAAAAGCTAGCCGTAACTTCGTGACCTGATAAACTTCTTACGAGAGATAGGTCAAAAGTTTGGATATCCCACAAAATATAATCTAGTAGGGTTATTGTTCATAAATTTATGACTTTGTATGAAGAGACGATTTTGTATAAAATCCAATAATATCAATCCGCTACGTAAACAAGATATTAGAGTATTGTAACGATCAATTAGAGCAAGTGAGATAGAAAAAAACAAAAAACTTTCACCATTCTATTAAATATAAAGTCAATTGTACTGGAGATCCCCAAAGTATAAAATTTGTCTAATTTTGATCCATAATATTTTAATTATATAATTTTTAGTTTCTAAAGTATTAAATATATTTTAATGTGGTCCTTCAAACAGACAACGTCTAAATTGTCAATAATTTTTTATTATAAACTTGTTATATAATATGTAAATATGAGCAAAAACAGTAAGTTTGATAATTCTTGACCAAATTTTTACTCAAATTTTGGTCAAAAAATTATCTAAGTTACACATTTTTGATTATGAACTATTAAAATTTTGGTCAAGAATAGTCATATTATACATTTTTTGCAAGAGGTACCCAAATTTTGGTCCAAGTGCTAACAAATTTATTTTTTTATTCATATTTAAGTATTACGTGATAAATTATGATAAAAAAATTATTATTAATGTAGATGTTGTTTGCTTAAGGAATTATATAGAAATATATTCAATATTTTAAGGGATCAAAATAATATAATTAAAATATTAGAGACTAAAAAAAGATAAATTTTATATTTTAGGGCTTTTAATATAATTAATCCTAAAAAATATATAAAGCAAAAGTGACATATAATCCCCATGTGCCATGTACATCAACTGGACTTGAATGATATGACAGATTGATTAGGTTAGAATATGCTTCCTGTGATAGGTTTTTTTTTGTAATTTCACGTGTATTGTGTGGTGGTTGAAGGACTAAATAAAGTCATGCACAAGACAAACAAGATAATATTTTTTATTCAAAATATCATTGATGAATCTTTAACCCAATTCAGAACCTTTTAATTTTTAATAAAAATTACTAAAAAACCCCAGACATGGTCGACTGAAAATTTCCAGGTCATAATTTTATATTTTTTTCTGTTCTACTTGAAAATTATTCATTCAAGAAAACATAGAGTAAATAAACAAGTTCAAGAAATCAAAGAAAAACAATCTCGGGTCGGATCGGGTTGAATTGGGTTGGGTGCAAAACAAAATATAACCCATTTTTATTATACTTAATTAAAATGAACTCTATTATCTAATACATTTAAAACTCAAACTAATTATTATAGATACCTAATTCATTTATTTATGTACGAATTCATGGGTAATGGGTTAAAATTTTCACCAAATCCAACCGATCATTTTAAATAATTGTTGGAAATATGTAGTTGAGTCAGATACATTATTGAGGTGTTTTATTAATAGATGTCATACGAGACCCTTAAATTTTTTTTCCCAATAATGTAATAAAAGAGAGGTGATCCAAATAAAATGGTGAAATTCGACCTTGGATAGGGCATGGATGAGATGGACCTCAATCAGTGGGCCATCCCTTTTTATTACCTTTTTTCATTCAATAATTTTTGGATGAAATTTACTTTGTATTTTGAAAGATTTAAAAATTTTTACTTTATACACTTAAAAAATAAATTCTTCATATTAATCTTCAATGTATTAAAAGTATTATAATGTGACATTTTCGTAAGCTTTTGTTATTCATTTTGTTTTTTGATGGAATAAGTAATATAAATTAATGAAAGGGTCACGTTACAAAACTTTTAACATATTAAGGGTGTAATATAAAAATTTTAATTTTTAAGAATACAAAATAAAAAATCTTAAATCTTTTGAGGGTGCGAAGTGAGATTCTCCCATAATTTTTTGGTAAGTAGAAGTAATTTATTGTGCTTGTTAGGAAAATAACCTTAGCACGAGATTATTTGTAATAAGTAGAGGTGACAATTATAACTCATTACTCATTAATTCGTTCAATCTGTTCATATATAAATAGATTGAATACCTATATTAATTAATATGAATTTTAAATGGATTGAGTAATATGATTCATTTTAATTAAACGAGTTAATATATATTAGAAATGGGTACCCATTAGATTGAATATTTATTTTTTTATTAAATAGCACAAGTAATAAAATTAAATAAATATATTAATATACTAAAAATACACACACTATTACACCAAAAAATACGCAGATATACACTAATCACTAAAATATATACACACTCATACACTAAAAATACACTCACTAATACACCACCCATGACCCATGGATCAACCCATGACCCATAACCTCATGGGTCAAGTCACAACCCATTCATAGTCCACAATTGACTCCGACCCATTATGTGTTTATTTTTTTTTATTAAATGTGTTTTAGTTTTTGTGTTGGTATATGTTTGTATATTTTTGGTGTATTAGTGTATTAATGTGTATATTTTTAATGTATTAGTTTGTGATTGTTTTAGTGTATTTATATTTTAATATATTACTAATATATGTGTGTATGTTTTGATGTACTAATGTGTCTATTAAGAATTTAATTATTTTATAGGTTAATCGATTTAACCCAACACATTATAACTCATTTTACTACGTGGGTGAAAAATTAATTAAATTTATTTTAACCCAATTTATAACCAACTCAACCCACTCATTTACCACCTCCAGTAATAA